GAAATTATATAATTTTAGAATAATTCTTCTCCTAATTTTTCACAAATAGGGTGGATAAGCACTATCTTTTATATATATATATATATATATATTTGAGTGAAGATAATTAAATTTGGGATTCCATTGACATGTAAAAAAGATTAGGACTTAATTAAAATGCCAATATAAGGTTAGGAGCAAACTGAACAGTGTAAAATTCTGAACACGTGAAGGTGAACGAAAACTTTAGGAACCTAGTTTCTTTGAAAAGAGCAGTTGGTTTCCTACCGGAATGAGGATTTTCCCCTTTCCACGTGAACTGGATACAAATAGAGTTCCCCAGGCAAGGGTGAGTTGTTGCCTTTACATTTCTATTTCACTTTTTCAAACTTTTATGCCTATGCTGCGGCTATGCACAATAGGAAAAGGAAATGTGAATGGGCAAATGGGAAGAAAAACTGGACCCAAAAGTCATAAAATATGCTTGTGGGAACCACCTTTAATTGGTGGTCCAAATAACCCCCATTGGTCTCCAGTTCCCTTCATTTCACGCAATGATTCATATATTGGTTTTTAATTTATTCATCACCCGCACCAGATCATAGCTGGCTATCTATGACTATGCATGTGTCCACGTCCATCAGTCCATCACTACGCCTTGTATGATGCAATCAATACATCAACAGCTGCTGTCAAGTGGATATTTTTAAACTTGCAAGTTGCAGATATGTAGTTTGCTGATTTTTTTTTTTTTTTTACGAGAAGAACAATAGTTAAAGGTGTTAGCACGTTAAAAGTGTTATTGTGTAGAGAGAATATTAAATCTGAGACATGAGATGTAAATCATGACCTGTTCAAAGAACTGTAAGTAACCATTGCGTTCCGGACGTAGAATAGTTGGCTGATTTATTGTTTCTTCATATTCCATTTTTTCCTCTACCTTGACTTTGAATTGTCTATTTCTAGGATATACTGGGTCAAAAGTTAGAGCCTAAAGAAGATCTCATCCATGTTATATCCGCACTGATTAAAGTCTAAAGGCAGGCCTATGGTTTACATTTGCATGAGAATGGGGACCAACCATATAAATTCCAATTCCCATACTGGCAATTGGGTATGTGAATAGTGCCATATTTGTTAGCCGTTTAATTACATGCGCGTCTTTATAGTTTCATTGCTGATATCTTATCGAGATATTTTACAACTAAGTCAATTTAAAAACATAAACAAATAATTAGAAAAATGGCTAAGTGCATTTGATATCCATATGCTTTTCAAAATGTCAACTCAATGGAAATGCACAACCTGAGTTAAGGACTTCTATAGCTCCTTGACTATTCAAAGAATGAAAGAATATTTTCCCCTCAATCTTTCCAATATATTTGTAGACAAAGCCGTTCTGCCCTTAGCCTTACTATTGTTATTTATTTAACATCCTCTGACAATCTAAAGTCAGCACCATTCTTGTTGATGACAGAGTTCCATATGGAGAGCTGGGATTTGCAATCAGTAATTAGTGGATACAGTGATGATGCCTTCATCTCTTCCATGGAAATCCCACCATCTGTTTTTCAACCTTTGCGTGTTCAACAAGAGAATCTTTTAAATTTTTCTGAAGCTTTTGAAACAAGCACAGGAGTCTTAGCCGAGCTAGAGGATCTTTACAGGCCTTTCGATCTTCAGTTGAATCCTCTTTCATCAACACAGACTGTCATTACCAGTTCCCTTCCTGTTCCACAAGATGTGGAAGAGCCTGAGAAGCTGGAAAGTCAACAAACTCTTTATCAATCTACTATTGTAGCCAAACCAAGAAAAAGGTAAGTGAATTCATACGTACATATGAATAAACTGTGGAATTTTGATATTGATCCTGGGATTTTATTGGAAGTTCTCCATTCTTTCAAGAAAAAGTTTAGTGAATTCACACAATTGAATAAAGTGTGAAGTTTTGAAATTGATCCTGAGATATTGTTGACAGTTTTCCATTATTTCTGCAGGAAGAATCAGCAGAATAGAGTGGTACAACATGTACCAGCTGATGGTCTTTCATCTGATATATGGGCCTGGCGTAAATATGGACAGAAACCTATTAAGGGATCTCCTTATCCCAGGTAGATATCTCTCTCTTCTTTACTATCTTCTCCTTTTTCATTTTTTCTTTTTTTGAACAGCTTCTTTACTATCTTCTTAGTTCTCTCTGACTAATAGAGTACTATTATGTATAATCAACCTGATGAAGGTTCTCTCTTGATGTCATTAATAATGGTTAGGTTCTCTGTTTGGTTGACCAAAAAGCAGGAGCTATTACAGGTGCAGCAGCTCAAAAGGATGCTTGGCAAGAAAACAAGTAGAACGATGCTATTGGGATCCTCAAATATTTATCATTACCTACACTGCTGAGCACAGTCATGACCAGCCAACTCGCCGGAGTGTTCTAGCTGGAACTACTCGGAGCTCTCAGGCTGGAACTACCCGGGGCAAGCCTTCTGCACCTAAATATCCTGCTTTCATGGAACCCCATTTGCCAGCAGATTCTGTTTTTTCAGCAACAACCACTTTGGTGACACCAACTGAAGATGATCAGTTACTGAAACAGGACAGCATAAAGAGGGAGGAAGCACAAATGCTTGAAGATTTTGAAGGAGACAAGATTTTCTCACCAGATATAACATTGAGTGATGAATTTTTTCAAAGCTTGGAGGATTTGGAAGGTCTTTTGGTAGGCCATGCCAATTTCCTGTCTAGCAATTGAAATGCAGAAGTTGAACACAAGAAACCGTGTTTCTTTTTTTCTTTTTTTTTTTCCTCTTCCATCAGCAGTTTGCATTATAAAATGAACTTGTAGTTAAGCTTGTTATCTTCTGTTGAATACAATATAATTATTTTGCTTTGCCTTTTTTCCATTTTTAAAAGAACTAGAACAATTAATTAAGATGAAATTAACTTGGATTTCAAGGAAGCCTTCTTAGAACAAGCATGAAAAGCAGTGGCTTCCCAACTGTAAATGAGAATGAAAACCAAATAAGAAAAGAAAAGATTATCAAGATTTCTAAGGTATGCTTTTGTAAGCTTGATTGAGACTGCATCGCTCTCCATATGGAATACATTGAAAATTTTCAATTAAACTATTTTAATTCATAGACGGCTTTTATTCTAATGGTACTGATTTCTGTTTACTTGTAGCATATGGTTGTATCTTTCTGCAACAAAGTTGTCTTTGTTTTCATCAAGCAAAGCAGCTACTGCACCCACAAAAGCAGCATTAAGATAAGTGGTAGGCTAGAATAAGAGAAGTCTGATCTTTCATCATTGAAATGATCATTTGAATCAGGTCCTCCAACATGTATACTTGGGTTCGGTGTTCTAGAGTAATAGCTTGAGTAGTCATCACCACAGCTCACCTTGGCTGGATGTCGCGAACGGAAGGAATTGATGCACCTCTACGGTGTAATTGCAAGTTAGCAACGGATACTTGCTGACAAATCCCACCATGTATGACATTTTCATGGAGTTGTTTTCCCATTTTGCATTTGACCAATATTAGTTGATCTTAATGTCTTGGAGTAGGTAGACAGAATCACAGCAACATGGAAGAGCTTGTAATATATTATAAAGGTTAAAACCCCCTTTTGGTCCCCAAACTATTGTATAGACCTCCAATTTAATCCTTGAACTAAAAAAATTCTTGATTTGGTCCCTACTGTTTACTCTTTTTACCCCAACTTGGTTTTTCCGTTAAAAATCGTTTGTTAACTTACAAACATGTCAAAAATTTAAGACACGTCAGTTGTACAA